AGACAATGAGGAGGGATCGACAAAGCCGGACAGCATGATACAGCATGATCGAGAGGAAAAGCAGCGATTGTCATTTGGCACATTGAGTGAAGATTTTTTTTTCTTCGCACCCGAGGTTTCACCACAAAGCGATGCGACACGGCCACGCGGAGAACTCTGAGTATCCGGAAGAGACTTCTGTCTACGACACTTGATTTACTCAGGCAACACACTTGGCGCATCTGGTCTGGCACAAAACTCAACGGACGTTGTTTTGTCTCTCGGGGATCAGCTCTTTTCGGCCAGAAAAGGTGAACCTCGGGCGCAAGGAACCGAGCAGCCCACTTGAACTCGCCACCACTCCTTTCTCTCCACCACGCAACACCCAGCAGAAAAAGAAGGAAGCCTTCGCGGGCGCTTCTTCATACCCATTTCCTTTTTTCTCAATACCACCATCGTTTGGGCGTTAAAGGGCGTTTCACACCACTTTTGCTTTTACTCATCTGGGACATCACACAAGGGGCATCAAGGAGTACAAAGGGTACAGGGCACAAGGAATCACGGGGAGGAAGCATCACAAATACCTTATATATATATACAAGATAAGAAGACGCGGACGGCGCGGATAAAGAATGGGGTGGCTATCTCGCACGGGGTCAGAAAAGGAGTTTTCATATACCATACCATTAGCATTAGTCGGCTGGAGATATCCCATTTGCAATTTTTTCCCCATTCATCTCCTTCTCTTGCTCTCTCTGCTCGTTTTGTGAAATCGATTCCAAGGTTATAAGAGATCGATGAGCGGTAATCTGTCAATTCGTTTACAGTTAGATGATAATATCGGCGAAAATCACAGGATCAAGAAATCTCATTGATCGCGGACCAAAAATGTGCTCTGAATTCATCACTATTATTCACGACACGCCTCCTGATACCCAAAACTCGAAACTTTAAATCTTCGACATAAGCGCCACACCCCCATCAAGCGTCAGCGTCGCCCCATTCACAAACGCCCCCGCCCTACTCGCCAGGAAAAGACAAGCACCCGCCGCATCCTCCGGCGTTCCAATCCTCCCCAACGGATTCGCCGCCTTAATCACATCCCCAAGATCTCTCAACGTAGCCGCCATCATCTTACTAGGGAACGGCCCGCACGCGAGCGTGTTACTCGTAATCCCCCTCGGCCCCAGCTCAACAGCCATGTGTCTGCTCAAATGATGCAGACCCGCCTTGCTCGCACTATATGCGTAGGTAGGCAAAAGCGGGACGCGAATCCCGTCGATGGAACCAATGTTGATAACCCTTGCCGGATCAACCACCACATCCTGCCCATTCTTTTGCGCCGCCTTTTCCATCAGGGGAGTCAGGGCTTGCGTCAAAGTAAAGACGCGGTGCAGGTTAAGAGTCAAAAGCTTCTGCCATGCCGACTCCGGGTACTCCTCGTAGGGGGCACCCCAGGTGGCACCCGAGTTGTTGATGAGCACGTGCAGCTTGGATTCGCGCTTGGTGAGTTCTTGAGCGAGACGGGCGCAGTCGTCGGCTTTGGAGAGGTCGGCGGGGAGAGCGACGGCGGAGCCGCCAGAGGATTTTTGGGCGGCGAGGGCGTTGAGCTCGGAGGCGGCGGTTTCGCACGCCTTGGCGTCGCGCGAGGAGATGTACACTTTGGCGCCGTTGAGGACGAAGCCCTCGGAGATCATGCGGCCGATGCCTTTGGCGCCGCCGGTGATGAGGACTACTTTGCCCTGTTGTTTTTTTTCTGGTCAATGGAGATTCATTGGGGAGGGCGGGTTGCACATTGTCGTCCCTGCAATAAGGAATTGCTTTGCGATGCATGGCACGACGTACCTTGATGCCGAAGAGGGTGTTCACATCCATGGTCGCTGCTGCTGTGGAGATTTGGTGATTTCGATAAGTATGTAACTGTTCAGAGGAGTACTCTTCAACCGGGATGATCCGAGGATAATAACTGATTTAAGCCCATCATCGCGTCCCAGCCAAACGATATCCGGACCGAACGGTACTGTTCACTAAGACGGGAAACCGTCGACCGACGAGAGACGAAGCCGAGGCTCGTTGGCGTTGGAGTTGCTGGCCAATCAATGTTGCTGTCTTATCGATAAGCTGTCACCGATAAGCTTTCGCGGGGAAGATCCTAGCGAGAGGCCGGCCAGGGTATGAGGTGAACGGTGAGGATCAAGGTGAGTACCGTTGACCGAGCACCATCTTTCATGCAAGCCTACATCATCATGACAGCTTGGGATAAAAAAACAAACTGATGATGTATATGTTCTCTGTGATATTGATGTAGATGCTTTGATTGATTCGACAATTGATTACGGCATGACAGGCACGGTCAGCTCAGCCCTTTTCTTTCACCGGTGAACACTCTGCACATCTCTATCACCACTCAACGTAAACACAAGAACTTAAATAGTAGGCATTGCAAAAACTCCGTATGCTGATATAGAACTGAAGATGTTCTCCAATTAGCACACCATGGCAACCAACCCCGAAGCGACCTCATACTCCTCAAAAAGCATCAACGACCACGCCCTCCAAGGCCAATTCCAGCGCCTCCGCTCGCTCTTCAAAGACTCAGACTACTCTACCCACCCCGAGCACTGGGACACACTATGGAAAGAATCCTTCACTCCATGGGACCGCGGCGGGCCCAGCCAGGCCCTCGACGAAGTCCTCTCCTCACACCGCGAGCTCTTCCCCAAAGCCCCCAGTAGTCTCGACGACTTTGACAAGCCAAGACCTAAAGCCTTGGTCGCCGGTTGTGGCAGAGGCCATGACGCGCTACTTCTGGCTGCGCATGGGTATGATGTCTTTGGACTTGACTCATCGCCGACGAGCTTGGAGGAGGCCAAGAATAATGAGAAGAAAGTAGAGGGAGAAGAGAATAAGGAGTTGTATGCGCCGAGGAGGGAGCTGGGCGTCACGACCAAGGGAAGGGTGATGTGGGTGGTGGGAGATTTTTTCGAGAATGATTGGGTGAACGACTCGGGATATGGAAAGGTGAAGAATGGGTTTGATCTTATTTTCGACTATGAGGTAGGTTTCGTTTGTTTGACTAGTTTTGAGATCGTTTGATCGAGAAACACTACTAACTCGGACCCTTATCAATCCAGTTCTTTTGCGCCCTTCCACCTGAAGCACGTCCGCAATATGCCAAGAGAATGTCTGATCTCCTCAACCCCGACGGCGGAAGACTTGTCTGCCTCGAGTGGCCACTTGACAAGGACCCGTCAACCGGCGGCCCGCCTTGGGGTGTTTCGGGCGATCTATATCTTGCCCATCTTGGGCATCCGGGGCAGGAATTGCCCTATGATGACAAGGGACGGGTGGTCATGGGCGGAAGCGCGGATACAACCTCAACTCCGGGTGCTCTCAAGCGGCTGGCACGTATACAGCCCGCATGCTCACACAAGGCTGGGTGCGACGACCAAGGAAACGTGATTGACCGTGTCTCGGTCTGGGGCCACCAGTGAGCGATAGTCAGGGGAGGTCGTGCCGGTACCAGTTACTTCAACTTGGCAACAAGGAGGGTGACACTTTGATGATTTGTTTGATACAACTCGCCTTTTAGCAAATCACCGTCCTCACGCGCTGGCTTTGCGCAGCGAGTTGTAGTGTTCTCCAAGACCATATCCATGGCGATAGTACGCCAACCACAGGACCTTGAGCTCTTTCTTGTCCCCGTTGCTCTCCCCATTTGCGACAGCGTTGGGCTGTATCACCTCAGTCCTACCGTCTTGCACCACCCTCATCTCCACGTTGTAGGCGTTTGCTAGCGCCGTCAGTTCCAGCTGTCCACCCCACTCTGCTGTATCCCGTATCTTGGCCACGTAGCTATCGAAGGGCTCCTCGAGGAAGGGCGCGAAATCGTCCGCGTGTTGCTCCATGTAGTCAACCGCCCTATGACGCACGACCCTGTATGGGGGGAGCTTCTTCTCTAGTGTTTGCGTCCCCTTGCTGCTCTTGGACAAGGGACCATCTATCGAGATCCCGTGGACAGCAAGCTGGTCTGCCACTGCAGAGAAGAGACAGTGCCCATCGGGTTCGATATCCTTCTCTTCCAAAGAATGTGCCTTGAATTCGCGTGACATGTACGCTTTCTCGATACCGCGATGATCCACCATATTCGAGGCCTCTTTCTCGGCTGCTGCTGCCGCGGCTTCAACTTCAGCTTGGCGACGGGCAAGACGCTCCTTCTGACGGTTTCGTTTCTTTCCTCCGCCGCCCCCAGAGGACTGTTCCACCAGAGGAGGGGAACTTGTTTTACTCGGTTCGTCGGAGACGGTCGTCTTCTCTAGCTGCTCGGCCACATCCTTGACTGTCGTTGCTTCTTGGGCGTTTTGCTTTTGCTCGGGCTCATCCTGGGCCTGCTCCTCCTCGTCCTCGCCGCCTCCTTGCAGCTGCCTGAGCTCCTCCTCTTGTCTCGTCTTCAGGTCGAGTTCCATCTGAGCGCATTCATCGTTGACACCCTTGCGAGTCTTCTTGGTCGCGTTCTTCTTCTTGTTTGTGATGCGTGACACAAGGTCTCTCTGCTCCTTGCGATGGCGAGCTTGCATTTGCTCGAGCGTTTCGGACTCCATGTTTGCACGCTCTTGTAGAACCTGTTGAGCTTAGAAGAAAGACTGTTGATTTAGGCGAGCTCAATTATAACCCGGTGATAGGCGAGGATGTCTGTGCAGGAGCTGTAGGTTTAAATGCGTTGTTGTGACAAAGGAGAGTAAATGGAGGACAGTTGGAAAGCTGTGTCGAGAAACTCTCCAACATGGAATTCGTACGCGAGTGGGTCAGTGGCGGGGTATGTCAGCAGCTTGAGGTACAGCTGTGACCCTAACCCTGTGCATTGTGCCGAAAAGGGGTACAGGCGTGGGGTTGTGGGGTAACATACCTCTAGGCGGCACAGGCCGATGTGTACAGATTGCGAGAATGTTCGACGGAATGCAAGCAAGCACGACCAGCCTCATAAGCAGATATTAGCTGCATCTTCTTCAACAAAAACCACTGCGCCGTTGGTATAGTGGTTAGCATACTCGCTTCCCAAGAAATCTTCTAATTAGCGAGTGACCCGAGTTCGAATCTCGGACGGCGCATCTTCTTTTGTCCTTTTCTCGGTATATGTCTAAGCTCGAGGAGAGCTTTGGATATCAGTGAGGAAGACGCTCTTTTTTTTTTTTGACTTCTATTCTTTACACATATGCCAATGTTGGATTGTGCTTCCCCCAGACTGAGTCCAATATTGAGCGGTTTCATGAGTTGGCGCACTTATCTTCAACACGCAACGGGTAAGCAAGACATATGTCGTCACTCTCAACTGAAGTTTTAGGGTGCTTGCACACTCATGTCAGCCTATACTCTGGGCTGTCATTTAAAGCTTTCATCCAATTGCAAGGCCCCTCCATGTTTCTTCAATTCAAGTCCCAGACAAGGTAAGATTGGACCACACGTGCAAATGACTCCTCTACGTTGTAAGTCAAAATCGTCCCTCGGATTCCGATTTGTCAACGGTCTTCATTGGCAGCCCAGTCAATTCATGCACGCAAGACGCCTTTCCCGTCCTTTGCCTGTTTCCACTCACCCATCAGAGACGTTGAGAACTTGTGTTGTCGTCTGATGTCTCTTCTTTACCGCTTTCCTTATGCTGCTGTACCCGTTCCATGTACTGTATGTAACCGTCTTTTTCTTGCTGGCTTTTGTCGTACAACAGACGGGCATGTAAGGTACAGCGCATACACTTTATATACATCTAACCGCTCGTGTGGAATTTTTGCGTCGATTGCCTTGGCCGAATTACGGGGTGGTCGGTATGAGATGGTTGGTTATTTCGATAAGGTATGCCTATGCATATGTTGACTCTTGGTTTCCTTCGTTGGGAAATCCAAGGCGGTGATCTTGAGTCTTCTAAAATTGCGAGTATCGCTGCCCTACGTCTCTTGGCGGAGCAGCAAACGTTTGTCAGGACTACATAAGAATCCTGCCTGCGGGCAAACTGCCTATATATGGCAGCTGGGCCAGTATGGGAGATGAAGGCCGAGTTTGTTCCCTCTGAGTTTTCCAGAAATAATTGTTTTCACGCAACAAAAGAAAGTTACATCTCCTTCCACAACGAGTATCCCGTCCTTGCCCGTACATCTTATCTTGTCCATGCATGTTGGTGGTGCACTTGGTGCCAAGTTCTTGGAGGATGAAACGAGGCCGACGTACGTATTCGTATGTACTCACATGCCGTGAAAGCTGTGGAAGCTACAGCGGGAGCACATAGGATCATGATTCCCATTGCATGGTGATGCTCCGGACCTGCAGTAGAAAAGAAATTTGATGGGCTGAAGAAGGACGGAGGAACTCTCTAAACGTGGGGCAGGAACAGACGAAAGAAAAGCCAAGGATTGCCCTGAGACATGATCAGAAGGGCCCCACTTTTCTGAAACGTGTTGAAAAGCGGGTGATGGGCTTCTGCAAATCAGATCAATCGAACGACTTGCAACATTTCTTCGCTCTTGTTTTTTCAATCAACTTCGAACCCCTTTTTTGTACCTGGAAGCGCTTGCTGGTGCGACAGACCGACTCACTGGAACCATCACACTTCGGGCAATACCCCGCTCCATCCTTATTTTTCCTTCCTTCTTTTTGGTTCATCCAAACACACACGTGCTCTCATACGATCGTCTCTTTTTGACTTGATTCACTCAGTGTTGTTGATCAATTCCTGTGGTCGCCTTACCGCTCACCGGGCTCACCAGGCAACGGTCGCTCTCAATTGCACATCCAAGTTTCCCCTTAACGATCGCAATCACGGCAGTCCATCCGGCATCAAGCAGTGCCGTACATGAATCCATCTTTGGTACCAGCGAGTGCGGTTGTAAGAATGGAATACATATGCGCCCAGGAATGTGGGAAACATGGGCATTTTTGGCATCGGAGAGGGGTGACATTGGCGCGGGTGGCAGGTTGGGCGGGAATGGGACAGCACAGGTTAAATAAAGCGCAGTGCAGCGGCGTACCTACATTTCATGTAAGGTCAGATGCGCAATGTGCTACACAAAAATGAAGAGCTGGTCAGCACGGTACTATGTAAAGATTGTTTGGTGTTACCTCGGCGCAGCGCTCACGTCCTCGCAACTGGACAAGAAGAAGCGGCTGTCGCGAATCTAATTGATTCAGGGGCACACCAGCACGGCCACTCCAGCGCATTCTCGTCTATCATTAGCGGAGGCTCATCAGAAGGTCGCACATCGACAGCCTGGCGGACCGGGAGGTGGGAAAGTGGGAGATTTGCACGATTATTATGCTGCGGAGTTGGCGGTGGAGGCCTTGGGAAATCGAAGGACTCCATCTCAGCACATCGCACATCGTCGTGAACGCCCAGCTCTTGACTTTGTTCGAGGAACCCCGTCCCAACAGGAAACACTGGTCAGTCAACGGAGGCACCTACAGGAGAAAACCCTCGGCGCTATCTTGTCCCATCTGAACTTCTCCCACAATTCCCTTTGTGAATGGACACCTCGGACCCAAGCCCCTTGATTGAGTTCTTGGGAAAGTTTGTCACCTCAGGTCAACAAGCTTCTTGGCCCGGGCTCCCGTCTTGCTGCCCCTGGCACGTGTGTCTGAGCGCCATGGCCAGTTTTCCCGCCTTCTCTTGCTGTCCAAGAAGATAGCGAAAGTGATTTGCATTGGAAGCAAATTCGCACACTCCACTGCGGGTTCCAAACAGGAGGTCCCTATATTCCTTGGCCGCGTCTGTTGACGGCTCCTCATATAACCCTTCTATTTTCCCACGGCCGCCAAAACTGCCAGTGTCCAGCATTAAATCAGGGATGTAGTGGCGACTCCCAAGAAAGAGCAGACTTGGGAGACATGGGTTTGGAATGCGCGATCCAATGAGCGTTCTTGAAGAGGTGGCTGATCGCCTTGTTCGGGAAAGAGTGCGATGCGGCGCGAGCAAGGGCAGGTTCGAAGGGGGCCACCCAAATACCACTCCAGACGAGCCGACACACCCAGGATTACGACCCATACGATACGTACCTGCAGCAACCCTTGGCCGACCAGCCGACCCATGTTCCCTCAGTGTTCAGTAGAGTTCTGGTTAGGGTTCTGAGCGCAAACCTTCGCTGCTTTCCACCCTTCCTTTCCTTCCAGTCGGGTCTTGTGTGTGTGTGTGTGGAAGTTTCAAGGGTAGGTAGGTATGGGACGCTCAGGTACGCCGCAGGTACCGTGGATTTTAATCTGCGGGTTCTTGGGTTGCCCTCGTCCCAAGTCTTTACTCGTTGCCCCCAGGCAGGCGCCCCCCCCCCCCCCCCCCCCCCCCCCCGGCGGACCCCCCCCGGGCGCCTCCCCACCCGCAAGAAATCGTGAGGGTTCCTGCCCGCTGCCAAAGTGGAAAATGAATATCTTTCGCCGGCTGTCTCGCCTTCCTCATCAGTGCTCCCTCTTCCCCTCCCTTTTCCCTGTGGTTTATCGTCCGTCTCGTGGTTCTTCTCCCTCGTCACTCCCTTTTCCCGTCGTCATTCCATCCATTCTCTGGTGGTCTGTTCTGCGAAGCGCTTGAATTTGTTAACCTAAACAAGTTCACTCGTTGTCCGACTCGTCGACATTTCACTCACTATACACAACCACTTACTCGCACCACTCGCTCTCTGTACTACAGTCACGCTCCTTTTCCTCACTCGCCAACTACCACATCCATCCTTGTGTTGATCACGACGGTATCTCTCCAGTGTCCATCCGTATTTCGACAAGAAGACAACCAATCTCGATAACCGAATTCCGATCTTGGAACAAACACTGGTCAGCTGTGCCGGCCTATTCAATCATTTTACAAACTTAAAAAAAAGAATCACGGTTGTGGACTCGTTCGTGCTGGTCATATTGTCTGGTGGATCGATCTCTCGTCAAGAAGCAACTTTTACCGCAATTCACCGACTCGCCCGTTCGATTTCATCTCATCTCGATACTTCGACCCCGCTCAACGACAAGCAATTATTGTTTTTGGCAACACAACCTTGGTGGGACCGTTTGGACGATTATCATTTGAGCATTTATTCGGCACCTTCGCCATTGTCTTGACAGTTCCTCTCTCAAGACATCTTGCAAGGGCCCACAAACCGGACAGCTTGATATCATCTGTTGTCCTTGGATATTGGTGGGTGCCTCCGTACGAAGTGAATGGCCAGGCCTTGCGGCTTGCCCATTTCCCTTCCTGCAAAATTTGCCAAAGAATTTGTTTCTCTAACATTTTCCCTTCTCAGATTCCCATCACTCAAATCAGAAATACCCCCAAAATGAAGGTTTCTGTAGCTATTCTCGCCGCCGCGAGCGGTGCGGAGGCTTTCTGGCGCATGGAGTGCCGTGGCACTTTGGCTGTCGCCCGTCTCGATCCTCTCGTCAACTTCGGCGAGCCTGCCGCCCATGCCCACTCCATCCACGGCTCTTCCGGTATGTTCACGCGATTCAAAACGCCTGGAAAGATGAACAAGATGCTGACATTCATCAACAGGCTTCAGCGAAAAGGCCGACTTCGATGACCTGATCAACGCTGAGTGCACTTCTTGCGCTGTCACCCAGGACATGTCTGCGTACTGGACTCCTTCTCTCTACTTCCAGCACGCCAACGGCTCCTTCGAGCTCGTTCCTCAGGTCGGCGGTCTGCTGTCTTACTACTTCCTCTTCAAGGACGCTGCCAACCCCGACAAGGGCGTCAAGGCTTTCCCTCCCGGATTCCGCATGATTGCCGGAGACGCCGCGCGCCGTAACTACTCCATTGCCGGTACCAACGTCAAGGATGTCGACCCTGAGAAGTCCTCTTGGGCCAAGCTTGGTCAGACTTCGCAGGCCGACTTGACTCAGCGTGCCATCGGCTTCAACTGCCTCAACTACGGCATTGCTCCCGAGGGCACCTTGTACCGTCACTACATGCCCGACAAGGACTATCTTGATGCCAACTGCGCCGATGGTATCCGTGCCGAGATCATGTTCCCTTCTTGCTGGAACGGCAAGGACCTCGACTCTGAGAACCACAGGTCCCACATGGCTTACCCCGACCTCGTCATGAACGGCAACTGCCCTAAGGGCTTTGAGACCAAGGTCCCCGGCCTCA